AAAAAAGTCACCCACAACACTGCTTCACAGACCAGGGGGAGTTTAAGAGTTTTGCTGAAGCTAACAAAAATTGAAAAAGTTCCCTAGTGGAGAACTCTCTGTAAGAGGCTTGGGCAAAGAGATAGTGATCCCAGGTAGAAGTCTAAAGTACAGAAAGAGAAGCAAATAAAGTGGTAAAAGTATTGGTAAGCGTGTTAAAAAATAACTGTAAAAAGCAGTTATTGAATGCATATTGATATTCAAAGAAAAGTTATAAAGTACTAGACTATCTCAAAAGAAGGGGAATGGAGTTAATGCATTCTAAGACTCTGCAGGAGAAAGACAATAACCTTTACTAATCTTAGATTTTTAGACACGGGGGAAATAAGTGTCCATGTTTTAATTTATCTAAAGTGATCAGAGAGTGAAACTTATAAATTAGTACAGGGAAAAGTAAAATAAATTAAAAAATTAACCTAATTAATAAATTTTAAATGAAGGCAAAAAAGGATACAAGGAAACTTAGGCAGCCTGGAAAGAAATTAAAACAGATTTCAATCCTTCATGGAGTTTAGTGGAGAGCATACAACAAATGAAACAAATAAATATGTAATTGTATGCAGCAGTGCACGGCATGAAGAAACATCAAATAGCACCTGAGGTGAGAAATCAAATATTGTACAAAAATGAACAACAGTGTTAAGAAAAATAAATAAATGAAAAATATAGAGCATGATAACATTTACAAACAAGTGCACTCCAGCGGGGGAGGGCATTTGTGGAAGGGTAAGGCAGGGACTGCTATTGTTCATTGCAGGCTTGTAAAAGCAATAAATGGGGGAGGGGGGGTATCCCTTTGAAAACTAAAGGGTAGAGAGAAAAATGAAAGACTTTGAAAAGTGATCATACACAGAAGCTAGATGGAAAAGGCACTGAGGTCTCTAGCAGTCATTCACATCCACTTAGGCAGCACTACTTCCAAGTAGGTACTAAGATAGACCCCAGTATACAGGGATGAAGGCAGGCATGATCCCTGCCCCTGGAGCTAATGTCTACTAGAGTGAACAATGAACAAGAAAATAAGTCTCCAAACAGATTATGTAGTAAGTGGTAGAACTAAAATAAAATTTAATTAGTGTGATTGAAAATAGTAGTAAGATGAACACAGGTCAGTTAAACTTCAGTTCCATTTGTCAGGGAAGTTATTTGAGTTAAATTTGTCTGACATGAGTTGAGACTGGAAACACAGGAAGATCAGCCCAAGTAGGATATGTGTAAATTTCCAGGCAAAAGTCTGGGGGGCTGAAAACTTGGAAAGCCATGGTGGTCAGAGGGGCAGGATGAGGCTGATGACAAAGTTTGACAGGTGGCAGATCACTTATAGCTGTTAAGTATAAATCTGGGGCATCATCGGGATATAGGTATTATTAAGTCAGGGGAGGAGTGAGTGCAAACTTCATCCAGAGGAATTCCACATTTAAGGCAGGGGCCGGCCTAGGATGGGAGACGGAAAAGGTGTGGCCTTATAAGGAGATACATCAAGGAAATGTGAATACTTCCCTAACAATACCTTGACAACTTAGTCATTTTTCTAAAACTGACCTATAGTTCTACCGATTTCGACGACAGAGCATTAGAGATCTTTGCGAGAAAACTGTATGAATTTACAAATTATCCAGCAAGTTATTTCTTCACCCCCAAGGTGAATGACAGCCAGGGTCTCTGCTGTAATTACAGTCCCGTTGACCGATCCAAGCTTCGGTGGGTCGTTCAGTGGCAGATCTCTAGCCTTGTGGTTATCCCGAGGGCTCGGTCCCCCAACTCTCCCTATACCGCCCCTCCTCCACCCCACCCCCCTCCCACAACGCTCTGCCTTGCACTCTCTGCCTCCTAGGGACCGCGTCCTCGCTGCTCAGCCACAATCCGGAGCGCGGCACAGCGCTCCGGCACGGTGATGCTGTACCGTTGCTTTGGGGACCCTGAGATTAGAGCCTAGAGTCATGGCCGCGGGCGGCGCCGCCCCAGGTAAACCACAAGCACCGGGACCAGGCCCGGGGCCTCGCGGGCGGTCTCCGAAGATGGGGAAGGCAGGGCGGCGAAAACCAGCGGGGAATCCAGGGCGAGAAGGCCTAGAGATCCAGGGCGCTCCCCCGGTCCCGGGCCCGCAGGACGGTGAGGCACCGCCCCCAAAGCGCCACCCGGCGCGGGACGGCAGTTACTGCTTCCGAGGTCATTTTACCAGACGCGCGCGTCCCCAGGGGGCAGACGCGGCGCGGGCCGGCAGGGGCCGTTGGCACGCCGCAGCCAGAGCCCGC